TGTAAGCATCAAGAATATGAGCTCAATCGTACCCCTTCCATAAAAATACAAGGTTTACAAAGAAGTTTTATGCACAATTGTCCCTTTTGCACACCTGCTTCACTCACTTTCAGATAGACACAAAAAAGCATCAACCAAGGTGGACCTGGATAAAACGCGCCGAAATTGCACGCAGACTCTTGGAGTTTAAACGAGTATGGTGGTCTGTTTTTCCATCGGTGCCGTTTCTGTGGATACCCTACAACGTCTTCCATGAAGTAAAAACATTTCTGTCTATCCACCAAATTATTTACAACCAAGGAGGAAGAGACAATGAACAATTACCGGATGCATCAGTTGTACTCAAAGCAGTAGTCGTAACAACAGTGGCATTGCAAGGCGCCACTTGGGACGACTGAGAGACAGCGGCGCTGGCCCATTCCGAGGCGCTAGCGTAGATGTTATTGTCGTTATCATTGTGTCCTGATGATAGTGGTCTAGGTGGTTCGCGCACAAGACGATACATTGAGGCACTGGAGGAGGGCTGCTGGTCTCTATTTGAACAGAAAGTGAAAGTGATACTTCTCTACGCATCTTCCTCTCATTCATAGCGTTTTTAGACTACTTTCACTGCTACCTTCACTACCCAAGTCTCAGGGAAAAGTTGACTAGCCTGATACAACACACCGAGTGTCAAAGACAAGGATCTGAGACACTTTTGAATCTTTTGATCTTCCTATTGCCAGGTGGATGAGCAATACCTACGACAGATGTTTGCCTGAGGGTAATAACAGGAGAAGGGCCTGCAGCATTTGAAGGGAAACCCTTAGCCTTATGCTGGATATGCATATCCATATGGATGAGTTAGTGCGCATTTGACTCCCAAAAAGCATAGAGCAGAGACGATAGACTTTCATCTTGGGCGCGGCATTTGCAAGGATTTTGGCCATCAAATTGAAGGTATGACCGAGTCACTTGATGGGAGTGATAAAGTGATGCTAGTACCACAATGCCTTTCTATATCCACCCATTAGAAAGTGTTCAGTTCGTCTTTAAACTGTTTTAAAGCTTCTCCTTGTTATGAGACTAATTGT